TCTGCATTTATAAATCGCACATGTCTTGAGGTAGTTCATTATGAAGTGATTTACCCTCTATGTGTGGTTTGATTTGACGGGAATTACAAGACTGACTTTCCTAATCCCTATAGAAAAGAAATAATAAAGTAGTGACTGCAGGTTAAAGGAAAGTAGTGGAGTAAAAGTACAGATACAGCACTAAAAACGTACTCAAGGGAAAGTAAAAGTACACATTTTTAAAGCTACTTAGTAAATTACATATCCTGAGAAAAAGTACTTAATTAAAATTAAGTACAATAAAACAGTAAGTGGGTATTTGTAATTAGTTACTTTACACCACTGGATTTAAGTCATGGGATATCTTTTATGTTTTTGTGACTGTTTGTACATCAATCACTGTAAAAAGTGATTATTAAAAAAAAAAAAAAAGCAACATGTTGACTTTGCTTAAAAAGTGAGTAAACCCATTGTAACTTGGAATTGTTAAGTAGTTTTAACTCAACCAACAGGTTTACTTGCTTTTTAAGTAAAGTCAACTAATCATTTTTCACAGTAATAATTAAGAAATACACTGTGGAGAAGAGGCATGCTTTACCTTTTTTTTCACTTACAGTTGAAATCAGAATTATTAAAACCCCTTTGCAGAGTAGGGAATTTTCACAGTATGTCTGATAATATTTTTTCTTCTGGAGAAAGTCAGCTGAAATAAAAACCGTTTTTAATTTTTAAAAAACCATTTAAGGTTAAACTTATTAGCTCCTTTAAGCCATACATTTTTTTTCAGTAGTCTACAAAACAAACCAGTGTTATACAATAACTTGCCTTATTACCCTAACCTGTCTAGTTAACCCAATTAACCTGGTTAAGCCTTTAAATGTCACTTTAAGCTGTATAGAAGTGTCTTGAAAAATATCTAGAAAAATATTATTTACTGTCATCAAGGCAAAGACAAAATAAATCAGTTATTAGAAATAAGTTATTAAAACTATTGTTAAGAAATGTGTTGAAAAAAATCTGCCTGTTAAACAGAAGTTAGGGAAAAATAAACAGGGGGGTGTATTTAACTCAGGGGCTTTAATCAACTGTATTTTGTGTAGTGAAAGGATATTTTGTGATTATATCACTAACACACTTGAAAATATGCAGAAATATTTTTAAAAGTGCAGTTTTTGGGATCTTTTGTAATATAAGTACCAGAGGTGGACAAAGTACACAAACCAAGTATTTGAGTATACAATATTACTCCTGTAAAGGTGCTCCTATTACACTTTCACTTTGCATTTGCCTTCAAATGTACTTAAGTATTCAATGTACTATGACCTTTACTATGACCTTTATTTCAATGTAAGGTTTATGTGTAATGTAGTTGCAAGTTTAGTTTGAAAGAATAATAATAATAAAAAAAAAACTTGTATTAAACAGGTTCACATGAGAAGGACTGATAGCTCTGCCCTAAAATAATTATATGTGACCAGGAGAAATTCATACCGAGGAGTGAGGGAAGGTTAAGGTATTTGATTAAAAATAAGAGAGCAACCTAATGTTTATTAAATAATGATGCACAGAGATACATTGTTTATACCAAAAACTACTATACACACATAAAAATAAGAGAGTACATTTTGAATTCATGGCCAGTTTAATATTGTGTTTTGTGTACATTTTTACATAGGACAAGTTTTTTACCCCTCAAAAAGCATCTTGCAATCAACCTATAAATGTTGGACCTCCTATGGATTCCAGATGAGGACCTCATGGAAAGTGTATTGATAGATGAATCACAGTCTCTCTATGCACAATGAAGGAAACCTTAAAGAAACCGCTCAATTTCTCTCGATCAAACAAAAATAACACACTCTGCCGATCTCAGCAGCAGAAAGAAACGTCTCTCCACGTCTTCAGTTATTCTTGGATTTCAGCAGTGAGGAGTTACTGTGAGCAGTTACTCACACAGCATGCTTTTGCTTCATTTCATGGCCTAAAATACAGCAGCACTGGCCGCTAACACACAGTATTACCTCAGGGTTATGGGAATGTGTCCAAAATGAGATGAACTGCTTATTATGTAAGACTACTTTGTAACTCAGCGTATTTTAGCCTTCACCAGTCACTAACCCAGAGGGTCATGGGCTGTTTATATGGCCTCTGATAGATATATTTCTTGCTCTGCTGAAGTATTACATGTGCTTCAGTCTCTACACTGATGTGGAGACTCCTGCATAAATGACTGATATATTAATAACATAGAAAGGCCTATAGGATTTAGATTTATATTTCACGTGCATTATTAAAGTCATGTGATTGATAGTTTGAGGGACGTTTTAAGTGCTCATCACCTGTTCTCATTTGTCATAAACTCATCCCACTGTCAAATAATCCTGGACTATACTGCTCACTAGTGGACACTTTTATGAGAGCAAAACGACAAAGAGAGAAGAGACAGACAGTATGATGGAAAAGCACTTTCAGGTAAATTAGATTATCTAAAAGTGATTGGATAAGTATTGTAATTTAGCAAATCGAGTGCTAAAGTGAAGCAAAAAAAATAAAATAAAGAAAAGAAAACACCTGACAGGATGTAAACAAAGAAAGCATGTTAGGGCATGCTAACTCAATATCTCTGATAAAGCAGAGATTTTTAAAAGAACGAGACTACTTTTGGACAAACAAGCTGTGTTATATTTGTTTTGGGGTATCAGTTTTTCCACATTTTGGACTTTCCGCTTCAGTCTCAGAAAAGCAGTTCTTTGCCTCCCCCTCCTGGTAGACGCTGAAACAGTGATTAGTTGACTTACATTACGTCATACTTTGAAGAGGGGTTGGAAAGAGCAAATAGGTCAAAGACGTAATTAAACCATTTTGAAGAGCCCTCTGGCGGAAATGAGACCTCAGTTGTTAACTGTTTTGAAAATATGAAGCTGAATGTTTAACTTGTTTTAAATAAAGTAATTAGAATAAAATATTTTCAAGATTTTGCTTGCAAATCACACTAAATTACTGTGTAAGATTTTTTTTTTTATTTTGGCAAATTCATTGGACCAAAAATAAAAATGAAATAAAACCTGCAATGTCATAAATCATTCTATGGATTTTGTCTTTAGGAAAACAAAACCAAAAATAAAATAAAACCAGAGATGCATATTATGATTATTATAAATATTTTTTACTATCTTTAACTATTTATTATTTTTATTTTAACCATATGACAAAAACATATTAATAGTAGTCACAAAAAAAAAAATAATAATGATAATACTACATTGTCCTAATGCTGTGGATATTCTAGATTTTCTTAACCTATTTTTTTCCAGAATCTCAAAAAAGGTAGTATCTTTTACTATATATGAACACCAAATAGCAAGGTAAGTGGCCCCTTAGGGCCTCAGGAAATCTGAGGGCCCCTAAATAAATACCTAGAAGTATAAATAATACCTATGAATTATATATAACATAATTTCTATTGTATTTTGTATGATGAGGGTCTAACAAAAAAAAAGAGGTAAATATTTAGTTTTAAAAACAAAACAGTTTATGCAGTTGAATTCAGAATTATTAGCCCCCCTGCATTATTAGCCCTTCTGTTTATTTTTTTCCACAATTTCTGTTTAGCGGAGAGATTTTTTTCAACACATTTCTAATCATATTACTTTCAATAACTAATTTCTAATAACTGATTTATTTTATCTTTGCCATGATGACAGTACATAATATTTGACTAGATATTTTTCAAGACACTTCTATACAGCCTTAAAGTGACATTTAAAGGACTAACTAGGGTAATTAGGTTAACTAGGCAGGTTATGGTAATTAGGCAAAGTGTATAATGATATAATGATGGTTTGTTCAATAGACTATTGAAAAAATATAGCTTAAAGGGGCTAGTTTTGACCTTAAAAATACTTTTGTTTTTTTGTTTTTATTAAAAACTGCTTTTATTTTAACCGAAATAAAACAAATAAAACTTTCTCTAGATGAAAAAAATATTATCAGACATACTGTGAAAATTTCCTTGCTCTGTTAAACGTCATTTGGGAAATACTTAAAAAAGGAACAACAATTCAAAAGGGGGCTAATAATTCTGATTTCAACTGTATATTTTTCTGTTGTGAATTCATTTTGAGAAAATGAATTGTTTAAAAAGCATTACAAGATGTTTTACATTACACTCTATAATATTTTGCATTAAGACAAAATGGCCGAAATTGCTTAGAACCAAAACAATTTCTCGTATTGTAAGACCAAAAAGTGATGATTTTGACAACAGGGAAATTATGGAATATAGGCTAAATTTTAACCAACATTAAAAAAGCAAAAACAACAACAAAAAAGGCATTATATTTTAACCGTGACTCACATCACAACTTTAACTTTATCTTCAACTTTAATGACTTCTGGCTTAACTTAATCTTGTCATAATTTTTCTTTTTATAACTTATAAATCTAATTATTTTAAATTCAAAGACTTGTAGATAGACATTTAACTAATTTGGTACTGATTGGATTGAACTAGTCTATATCATTTTAAAAAGCAAAAATAAAAATAAATGGATAAAAATAAATGCATGGACGTTTCATTTTGAAAATTAAATAAATAAAACTATGTCATATGTACAGTTGAAGTCAGAATTATTAGCCCCCCTTTGAATTTATTTTATTTTTTTCCCAAATGATGTTTAACAGAGCAGGAAATGTTCACAGTATGTTACAATTTTTCTTCTGGAAAAAGTGTTATTTTTTTAATTTAGGCTAGAATAAAATCAGTTTTAATTTTTTTTAATCCATTTTAAGTTAAAAAGGTATTGCCTTCTTTAAGTTAATTTTTTTTGCCTTTAATGTGTTGAAAAAAATCCCTCCGTTAAACAGAAATTATTCGGCAAAAAAAAAAATAAACATGGGGGATAATATTTCAGGGGTTAAAAATTCTGACTTTAACTGTATGCACATTAAACTTTACAATTGGTATGATGTCATGTTAAAATATGATCATTAACACTTTTTTCTATGGACAGCAAAAGCTATTCACTGAAAATATTTATATTAGTATGGGTATAAACTAAAATACAGCCTATAATAATACAGTAGCCTACTCGACGTCGATAATATGCCCATTCTCAGATTATTAACTAGTCTTTAACAACTACGAAATCTCTTCTTGAATCCACGAGTCGTACAAGTTACGTCATATAATGCAAACGATCTCATATTATGCGCCCACTACATATAGATAGATTGTAGCCGTCCGGAGCCTTTTCGTCATAACGGAGCGGCATGACGTCGAGCCGCATCAAACGCTTCCATTCAGGCAGGAGCTTTATTATGCAGAAATACCAAAATGATTGGCCTGATATCAAAATGAGTGATCATAAATAATAACGCGAGAGTTTGCAAGTTGCCTGCCGACTGTAGTCACAACTGTCAAAGGCAGCAGCAGCGGATACGCGCGTGACCCAGCACCCATACTGTTACTGTACACGGTCGCGGAGATAATATCCCTATCAAACAAATACACGGCATAATCCCGAGGTAAGGAGAGGAATATATCGAGGGGGCTGCGGCGGAAACTGCGCGACGCCGTGCCTTTCCCCTCCGCTTTCCGTCGCGTTCACTTCTTCCAGCCTCGATTACTGCACTAAACATATCCCCGTGCCTCCTTTAGCAACAGCGCGAGGTTTTTTTTTTTTTTTTTTTACTCCTCCTTCGTATTAAAGTCGCCATTTTGCTTCACTGCCTATGAAAGCTTCTTGTATTTTGATATTTTTTGCCGGCGTTTCTCCGTATCTGTGTGCGTGCTTATGAGTTGGATTTTAATGAGACAGCTCGTGGATTACATATTAATGAAGAGGGGCGCCGAGTGCAGTCTGGAAACACGGTGAAAGTAGTCGGCTTGTGAGCATTTGCATCAGCTGGCTCTTTTTTCCTTCTTCATCTTCTTCCTCCTCCTTCATCATCTTCCTCCGCGGATACGCACAGCGGGGGCCGTGAGTGTGGCTACCGACCGTGACGCCCGTCTCCCCGCGACCCCCCGCGCGTCAGGTGTGTTTGCCATGTAAAGTGAAGCTGCGCGACGCGAGAGTAAAGGCTACAGCCTGACCCCACGTGGGTGACCCGCTCACCCGCTCACCCGTCAGTGTTGGGTGGCTTTCCAGGTAGGTGTGGCCTTCGAGAAGTCGATTATCTGTCAATACTGTCAATAAAGACATAAACGCACCTTTCCTCTGGGAAGACGCGTGCTTTAACGCGTTATATGGTGTTAGTGCTTTTTTGGAGGTGGAACGGAATATGCTAGTGGAATGTGTTGTGGTGTTTATATGTGAGCTGTCAGTCATATTATTAACCACTCACACACTGTTTGAGCACTTATGTGGGTCATCCTCACTGTGCGCATGTTTTGTCTTTGTCCTACCATGTTGGGTTAAATATTAAAAAGTTTAATGGAAAAATGTCACAAGTTTTACCATGGGGTGAAAATGAAACTTGCACAAGTAATACAGATGTTTATCTTTCTGTGTGTGTTTAACAACTTATATAAATTAAGTTTAAGCAATAATATTCTTGAGTTGTTGTGGGGATAACTTAATTGTTTTATGTTCAATCCACTTAAATTTGAATGAACTAATAAATTAACTTAATTCCTTTATGTTGACCCAACAAAATCGATTGTGTGGAACCCAGAATATTTTACAGTCGGTGTGTTGTTGTGAACCATGTTTTCTTTGAAATGTTGCTTTAATCAATAACCAGAAAGTTTCTCCCTGTGACTTCAATGTCATATTATTTTTGTTTTGTAAAACCGTCTAGAAATAATGGAAAACAGACAGTTCTTTAATAACCCAATCCTTTGGGAAATTACTGTACATTGTGTCTTGTATTAAAAAACTGTGTATGTCCTATTACATTGGGTTGATTATTAAAAGTTTGTAATTACAAAATGTGACATTAGTTTTAGCTTGGGGTGAAACTGAAAAAAAAATAACTTGCAGTTCATGAAATAATATTACACCTTTATTGTGTTACTGCAAAACTAAAATATTTTCTTAAAAATATTATTGTAATGAATGATAGGCTAAATAGAGATGTCCTGTGCCCCCAATTTTGCTTTTTATCATCTTATTTAGATCTTACTAAAATATTAAAGATAAACCATGTTTTAAATAACATAATACCCAAGGAAGTGACATAATTCATTCATTCATTTTCTTTTTTGGCTTAGTCCCCTTATTAACTTGGGGTCGCCACAGCGGAATGAACCGCCAACTTATCCAGCATATGTTTTACGCAGCTGATGCCCTTCCAGCTTCAATTCAAACATCCATGCACACTCATTCACTGCGGACAATTTAGCCTACTCACCAGTACTGCATGTCTTTGGACTGCGGTGGAAACCGGAGCACCCAGAGGAAACCCACGCAAACGCAGGGAGAACATACAAACTCCACACAGAAACCTCCTCAGTTGGTGTTTCTGTGTGGAGTTTGCATGTTTTCTCCGCGTCCACGTGGGTTTCGTTCGGGTGATCCAGTTTCCCCCACAGTCCAAATACATGCGGTTCAGGTGAATTGGGTGGGCTAAATTGTCTGCAGCGTATGAGTGTGAATTAGTGTGTATGGATGTTTCCCAGAGATGGGTTGCAGCTGGAAGGGCATCCGCTGCATAAAACATGCTGGATAAGTTGGTGGTTCATTCCGCTGTGGCGACCCCAGATTAATAAAGGGTCTAAGCTGAAAAGAAAATAAATGAATGATTAACTTAATGATTAACATTGGTGCTTTATTTTGATGCATGTCCAAGAGAATTTGCAATTTGTTGGAAGGAATGAGAAACTGCTCATATGATGTGCAAAAATGACTAATAGTTTTGAGAAATGCATTAACTATTGTGCAAATGTAAATAGTTCTGTGAGAAATGCACCAAAGCGACTGAGAAAAACTGTTGTCCGATTGTCTAAAAATAATTATTAATAACATTTAAATGCTGTCAGGCTGTCAGTCAGGGAAAAAAACAAAACATTTTAATTAAAATACTGAAAATACAGCTCAAGCATATTTATTCTTCTGAAGTTATGGTTTGATAGCTATTGCGTGGCAGGAATGAGCCGTGTGTGTTTCTTTGATTGTGTAGGCACACTTCCATCCACAGCCTTTCTAAAGTGTGTGATAAATTCCCCAAATACCATAGCACTTAGTCCTACCAGCTGCTTTTCCTATTACCTTATTGCTCTTTTCCTTTCTGGAATCAACTTCTGGCTCACAAAATGAGCTTCAGCCTGTGGGCCATAAATAATTTGGTCTAATGATCTTCAGCACTTGAAGATCTATGGTTCCTCTTTGTGGGTTAGGTGATGAGAGGGCTGTTCTGTGATCTGCTGTTACAGTATGCTGAGCACAGTAAATCTGTGAGTGTTACCTGTTGTTTTAGTTGGCATTTAAATAAGAAAAGGTTGTCATGTTCTTTCATGTAGGCTGTGATGGGTAAAGGGGTTAGAGCTTGATTTTTTTGCTGTCTTGAACATGCTGCAAATGTGTCAGTACATGTGTAGCAGCATTTCTACTTTGGAATCCTGTGAAAGTTTGTTTTGGTCATGCTAAAAGTAAACTCCCTAACTCTGCTTTCAGGGGAAATATATTAGCATTTCTGACAGCGAGACGTTCCCACAGCATGCATTAGGTGAAGCATTTCTCCGTGATGTTCATAAAATCTCCTTTGACACATGATAAATCATGCAGCCATATGCCCGGCCACTGTTCAGCAAATAATAGCACACTAAAATTAATGGCATTTTAAAAAGACACAAATTAGTGACCCATTAGGCCAAACTATAATGAAGAACTGAAATGACATTGATTTAAGTTAATAAGAAAGCATGATCACATTCTAATAAGCACTATTTATTTTAATTAGTCATTGTCAGGCTTCATTCATTGCACTGAACCGCCTATTTCCCTTCTGAATAGACGACTGGAGGAAAATCCGCTTAGCCAGAATTTAACTTAGATTAACTTGGATGGACAGGCTGGTTGGTTGGATGTATGGATAGATAGGCAGATAGATAGACAGACAGACAGGCATATGGTCAGATGGATAGATAGAAGAACAGAAGGTTAGATGGTTGATGGATGGATGAAAGGATGGATGGATGGACGAAAGCATAGATGGATGATGGAAAGATGGATAGGTGGATAGGTAGACAGACAGATTAATGGATGGCTGGATGGATTGATGGATGGATGCATGGATAAATGGATGGATGGATAGATAGACAGAGAGACAGACAGACAGACAGACAGACAGACAGACAGACAGACAGACGGGCGAATAGACAAACAGATGGATAGATGGATGAGACTAAGAGACAGACAGATAGGCAGAAAGATAGATAGATAGATAGATAGATAGATAGATAGATAGATAGATAGATAGATAGATAGATAGATAGATAGATAGATAGATAGATAGATAGATAGATAGATAGGATAGATAGATGGCCTGATGGATGAATGACTGACAGACAGATGATGGATGGACGGATGGATGGATGGATGGATGGATGGATGGATGGATGGATGGATGGACAGATTAAAAGAGATATGGACATATGGATGGATGATAGATAGATAGACTAAGAGACAGATTGATGCATGGATGGATGGATAGACAGACATATAAATGGATAGATGGATGGATGGAAGGATAGATAGATGGATGAATGTATGGATGGACGAAAGGATAGATGGATGATGAACAAACAGACAAGTGAATAGATAGACAGATGAACACATGGATGGATGGATGGATAGATGGATGGATGGATGATGGATGGACAGAGACAAATAGACAGACAGAAATGGATGAATAGATGGATGAATGGTTAAATAGACAGATGGATGAACAGATAGACGGATGGGTAGACAGACTAAGAGACAGATATATAGATAGACAGACAGACAGACAGACAAGGTTAGATGTATGGATGGACAGATTGAAGGCTGGATAGATATATGGATGGATGGATGGATGGATGGATAGATGACAGATGAATGGATGGATAGCCAGACAGACAGATGTATGGCTGGATGGATGGATGATGGATGGACTAATAAATTAGACAGACAGACAGACAGGTAGATAGATAGATAGACAGACAGACAGACAGACAGACAGACAGACAGACAGACAGACAGACAGACAGTCTGATTATAATATTCCCCATTCAATAAGCCACAAAGTCACATAATAGTAAGTAGGTTTGTGTTAATGTGCACTTTATGTCATTCTGTGTGTGCGCTGAACTGTCTCAGCAGGTCTTCATAATCCCTGATTCAAACACTTTCAAATACAGTAAAAGCACCTTTGTGTTTATTTTGTTCTTATGCAGATAGTGCTTTTTCCTTTGGCCTAATCTATTTGTGTCCTAAACAGGCATGGACACCTCCAGCAGTGCCCGGGTGGTGAAGCCTTTCTCGGGCACGTCAAAGGGGCGCTCTGCCAAACAGGCCCACCCTGCCGAGCCGGCCCTCATCGGCAGCACTGAAAACGACAATCATGGTAAGTAGCTTTCCGGGCTTAAGCATTACAATAAAAAGCTGCAGTTCATTTGCTTGTACATTTTGAACAAATCCATTGGTTGATTCAGATGAAACATGATATTTATGTTGTAGCCATATTAAAAATAAACAACATTGTAGTCGTTGACATCATTTAAGGGTTTTGTTTGCAGGTATCAGGAAGTGTGTGTTTATGCGTTTAAATATAGCTGAGGTTTTTACAAGTACACTTGCTTCAGCCTGCTTGGCGTGTCTTAGGTTTTGACAAGCATTTTCACGCCTGTGTGCTTAAGAGAGGAAATGATGGCTGCCTTGTTATGGTGAAAGATGTTTTGACAGATGAAGTCCTTCCACTCGTAGTAAGGCTGTTTTTAATGTCAGTGAAATACATACCGTCTCCCTACATGGCTGACCTCAGATTAACCTTAGGTTTACACAAATGTTCATTGCAAGTATTCTGTCATTATAAAGATATTTAAATGCACAAGCAGAATGAAAAGAAGTACAGTTAAAGTCAACATTATTAGCCCTTCTGTGAATTTTAAATATTTCCAAAATGATGTTTAACAGGGCAAGACATTTTCCACAATATTTGCTATAAATTTTAGCTTCTGGAAAAAGTCTTATTTGTTTTATTTTGGCTAGAATAAAAGCAGTTTTACATAAAAATTTATTATTATTAGCCCTCTTCAGCAGTATTTTTAGTTAAATAATGATTTGCCTAATAATCCTAACTTGCCAACTAAGAACAGGAAACTGAGGCTACAATTAGCTCAGGCTCACCAAAACTGGACAATAAAAGATTGAAACAATGTTGCCTGGTCTTATTAGTCTCGATTTCTGCTGCTGTTGCAGCTGTATTAGATCCATAAGTTAAAATTTTTATCATTATTAATCACCTGTTATTAAATGATCTGTCTCTAAAAGTGAGGGGGACATTTCCCTCCGGTTGCTACACCCCAGTCAACAACATGAAAGCATGAATCCATCCTGCCTTGTGTGAGGGATATTTTCTTGACACACTTTGGGCCCATTAGTCCCAATTGAGCATCATATCAATGCCACAACCTACCTGAGTATTGCTGCTGGCCATGTCCATCCCTTTATGACTACAGTGTACCCTTCTGATGTCTACTTCTAGCAAGAGATCGTGGCATGTCATAATACATTAATCATCTCAAACTGCTTTCTTGAATATAATAATGAGTTCAATGTACTCAGATGTCCTCCCCAGTCACCAGAACTCAATCCAATAGAGCACCTTTGGGATGTGGTGGAATTTTATATTTACATCATGGGTGTGCAGCCGACAAATCTGCAGCAACTGTGTGATGCTATTATGTCAATGTGGACCAAAATCACTAAGGAATATTTCCAGTACCTTGTTAAATCTATGACATGAAGGAATAAGGCTATTCTGAAGGTAAAAAGGGGTCCAACCCGGTACTAGTAAGGTGTACCTAAAAAAGTGGCTGGCGAGTGTAAATACTAGAAATACTTCTAATATCTAGTAAAGTACTATGTACTGTCATCATGGCAAATAAAAAGATATTTTTTTTCTTTATTAGTATTTAATTATTAAAACTATTATGTTTCGAAATGTGTTAAAAACAAGTCTACTCTCCATAATGAGAAATTGAGAAAAATATACATGGGGCTAATAATTCAGAAGGGCCAGTAAATCTGACTTCAACTGTAGATCAATGGAAAAATCATACACTTAGAAACAGCCACGGGAGCAAAATTAACCATAGCTGCCATTAAAATTTACATAACAGATTATCAATTAATTATTCAAGTCTTCCTGTTTGCCTATATAATGCATCTTTTTTCAGGCTGTCATTTTTGTACTGCTTATGTTTTATCGCTCTGTGTTACTAAGCAATGCTTTTAACTAAGCTGATGGTAATCAGATTTAAACACAATGAATAAACAGAGCTTTGTTGATGATTGATCATCCTCAGCATCATTTTTGTTGCACAAATGTAATAATTTCACAACTCTAGACATTACTTCGTGAAGACGATGGTACAAAACAGTGAATGTTTTTAAGCCATCCCATAACAGTAGTTGTGTGCATGAGAACATTTTATCTGCTGGCAGTTTTTGGTTTACAATGTTCCCTGGCAGTTCTATTATCAACAGGCCAGCATTATAATACTGGTAATAAGGGCTGCATGAAATAATTGACATTGCAATATTTTGTTTTTTAGCGATGCATTGCTATATGAAATATATTTCATCAGATAGATTGAACAACTCTTTTTGTGAAGAGTTCACAATTTATGAATGTTTAGGGTGATTCTATAGTGGGTTGGATCTAAATAAATTATTAAAATTAACTTTAAGCTAGATTTTTATGAGGAAGAAACATACAAAAAATTTGTCTAGTAAGACGTATTGTCAGTTAGACACAAATACTTGACAGTTTTCACTGTAAATATGAAGTTTTACTAACTATTTTTGAGAGGAGAGCATGATATGATTGATTGTGGCTGGCCTCTCATTCGTAATCAGCAATAATCCAATCAGATTAATTAATTACCAATTACCAATAATAACCTTTATCTGGGGTTGCCACAGCAGAATGAATCGTAAACTTATTCAGCATATGTTTAATGCAGTGGATGCCTTTCCAGCTGCAACCAACTGGGAAACATCCATACACACTAATTCACAAACACACACACCATGGACAATTTAGCCTACCCAATTCACCTATACCACATGTCTTTGGACTGTTGGGGAAACCAGAGCACCCGGAGGAAACCCACGCCAACACTTGGAGAACATGCAAACTCCACACAGAAAATCAAACAGACCCAGGCGAGGCTCGAACCACTGACCTTCTTGCTTTGAAGTGAACATGCTACCCACTTTGCAAATGATTAAGTGCAGATAGCCTACATTTAGCACAATTTCCAAGTAAATAGATCTTGTTAATCTAAACTGATTGTTAATTCTCAGTCTAATAGTTGTTCTCTCCAAAACTTTGTCAGCGTCATTTCATTGTATATGTCATTACATGCACAATAGGTTGTTCAGACCACAATAGCATGAAAACCCAACATTAGGTAAATCCTTGGAACATTTGATCATTGTAGGGAATGGTTGGAACATTCACGTTGTTTCTTCCCTCGTTGCATCGCAAGGGAGAATATAAGTTTTGATGTGGATGAGAATCTGAGGCCACACAGACTACAGCATGTGGATGGTCAGGAGGGTGAGGACGGCGGTCATGGTTATGAAACTCCACCTTTACTTTTAGCACTCAAGTTTTTTGTTTGTGTGTTTATGTTACAGTTTATAATGCTGTATCCAGTTTTTTCTTGCTCTGATATATGGAAGTTATTTTGTGTGTGGTTGATCATTACAATAAAAAAAAGAGTTACCATTTCCTTGGCAGTATGAGTGCAATGTGTGACATCAAACCTTGGAGGCTACTCTTACTCTAAAACCTAGACAAAAAAAGTTCAGTAACCATTGTCAAGGAAGGACTGGGCTAAGTCTGTAAGGTGGACATGGGGGATATTTTAGTAGTTCTTTGCCATAGTGACAAAACATCTAAACATTTTGACTTGCAATGCTTACACATTGCTAAAGGGACGAAGCATTTTGGGGGCACTGACTGTTTAAATGTGAAGGAAATTTAGTTTTGACACTTGAGTAAACTGTTTTGGGAAAGGTATGAGCTGTTGCAGGTGAACCATGGTGTTGTGCCGAACCATCCACATTATTTAGGCAAAAGCACCAAGAGTGTTGAGAATGTCTGGTCTGTTTCAAGAAATGAGCCAAAGAACTTGAGATATATATATATATATATATATATTGTGGCACTGACTTTTTATATGGGAAAGGAATTTAGTTTTGATGCATGAGTGTACCGTTTTTGAAATGATATGAGCTTTTGCAAGTGAGCTATAGTGTTGTGCTAAACTGTAAGACTGTTTTGCCAAATGATCTTAGAATTTTGAGAATTGTTTCAAGAAATGAGGAAAATCAATGGAGAAAAACTGTAATTCAAGCTTACAATAAATAGACCAAATTCACCCTACTATCTTTGTTTTGGAAGAATCCCCACTTCCACCCCATCTCCTCCTTTTTCTCACTTTACCAAGGAAGAGCTCTCAAGATCTACCTGATCTCAGACCCTCTTATATGCTTTTTGACCAAGCTGGAGTCCTGGGCTCAGTTCAAACATTATTTACTAAATTATTACTAAATACTTAGTATTAAATTGCTCTTGATTGATTCCTCAGATTTGCTGTAGAATTTCCTAAAAGTGATTTAGTAAGGGGTAAAAGTAATTTTGTAAGTATTTTTTTTTTTTAATTAAAACCCAATAACTTATATTCTAATGATTAAAAAAAATACAATATTGCAAGCCGCTGTAACGAGTATACAGCATAGAAAATTGCTGTCTGTGAGGTATTTGAGCAGATTTTGCTTTTCCGGTAAGCATGTCTCGGTGGTTCATGCATGGATTCTGCAAGTATATGTGTACATTAGTGGAATATAAACAGAGTGGAATATTGAGTTATTTTGAACATTGATTGTGGCACACACACACAAGCTAGTTGATGGTGCGCTCTGCTGTTTTTGTGCTTTGGTCAGAGCAGCATAAGCCATTGAAATTAATGGGTTTCATAGCAAAGTGCTTTCCACATACAGTGTTAAAGCTGCTTCCAATGACACAGTTATTATGGCTGGAGGAAGAGTAAAACTAGCATGCTAAACACTGCATGCCATTGTGGCATGGCTTTTTTGGCTCATTTTTTTGGTCACACTTCTTAGTCAGTTTCAGTTTCAATAAGCAAAAATTCAGTGCATTCCTAAGATGAACATGAGAGGTATATGTATGCTTTTGAAATAAATATGTGTTTTGAGAGGTGACGTAAAAGATATTTTTTTTAATACTCATGTTACCAAATTTATGATTACTGACTTTCTCCATGGGCTCTATTTTGACGGTCCATGAGCAAAGCACAAAACGCAGGGCAC